AACTATATCTACTTGGGTCTAGTGTTTGTTTCGTTTAATGTGAAATGGTTGTTTCTGTATCTTTTCTTTCTTATCACAAGACCTATATCTACTTGGGTCTAGTGTTTGTTTCGTTTAATGTGAAATGGTTGTTTCTGTATCTTTTCTTTCTTATCACAAGAACTATATCTACTTGGGTCTAGTGTTTGTTTCGTTTAATGTGAAATGATTGTTTCTGTATCTTTTCTTTCTTATCACAAGAACTATATCTACTTGGGTCTAGTCTTTGTTTCGTTTAATGTGAAATGGTTGTTTCTGTATCTTTTCTTTCTTATTATAAGAACTATATCTACTTGGGTCTAGTCTTTGTTTCGTTTAATGTGAAATGGATGTTTCTGTATCTTTTCTTTCTTATCACAAGAACAATATCGAAACTCGATTCACATCATGCTCGAGCAAGTTTCAATTATACCATTGTAACTGTTACAGATGTACCAAGTCTGACATGGTTGATACAACCAAACCCACACCTGTAACCCAGGTTAATTGAGTGGCGAACTGTTTGTCTATTGTTTTAGCTACCATTTCCCATTACGTGGGAGTAGAAAGAGTCAGTCCTCCACATTCACATAGCAGTTTAGCCAAGAAAGTATGACTCTGATATCTGTGAGCACGACACAGTTTCAGGGTTGCATCTCGCAGAACTACCACTGTAAATAATCACAACCCGTTCTATTTGAACTTTCTAACATCAAGAAGAAAAGCTTGGCACTCAATTACCAGGAATTATTGTTGCATCTCTGTCACAATGTAGGTGAAAGGTGAAGTAAACCGATCTATATATCTGCCTGTTAAAAGACAAAAAAGAACTAAACGATTAAACAAGGAAATTGCACCAAGCTGACTTCACAGGTCATGGAAAAAGATGGTCATAAAACGCACAACTTGAGCAGCTATGCTGTCATAAGCCATAAGCCTGACCGGAACGGCAAGCTTAAGGTTAAGAGTCGATTCCACCAGTCTGCTAAAATGATACAAAAAATTGCTAGTTTTACAACATGGCCTCAAAATGCACCAGGCTGCAGTATCAAAGTTGGAAGAGTTTTAGTGCTACAGTAATATACCAGTTTAAACAAAACCACTTAGGTTGCCTTCTTGCTGGACTGCTGGCCTTTCTGCAAGGAACATGCACTTCCATCACTCCTGAAGCACACTTGTGTCCCCCATGGCTCCATCTGTACAAGATTCTCACTCTGGCTTGAGCTTGTGAACTTAGTCAATGAAGCTGGTCCACCAAGAATTGAGTTCTTTGTCGAGAGCAGTGCCTGATGGAAATATTCCTGAATGTCCCCAGTTTCCTCAAAAACGGGAATGTCACTTGTAAGCATCTTGAAAGCAAATTCAAGGCATGGGTCTGGCCAAGAGTCACCGAATGGTGATCTGTACGGTGCCAATGGTTTTTCACTGCTAGATCTTCCCGATTGAACCTGTTTTTTGGCATTTGATTCTTCACTTGCATGCTTGTGGCTCTCAAGATCGTCTGATTGTTCAAGGTCTATTATGGGTGTCACATTTTTCTGGTGGACTCTTTTGTTAACTAGATCAGATTGAGCGCTCTGAGCCAAAACTGAAGCTGATTTGTTCCCATTAGACCTTTGAATGGCTCCAGAGTTTGACATTTGGTTGCCCCTAAGTGCAGCCAATCGTTTAGATGCTCGGAGTGGCATCTTCATTGGCTTTATGGCCTTGGCTCTCGTGAAGCCACGCTTGTGTCTTCCTCTGCTCTTCTTAGGTTCAGATTGCTCCTCATTCTTGAGCGTTAAGTTTGTTTCATCCAACGAGTTAGTCTCTGGAGCTAGTAGATTTCCATTCTGCTGTCGGAGAGGCACCAACGGTACATGCTTTACTTGTCTCATATTTGCTTGCTGCATCTCATCAAACCCGTTGGAGAGGCATTCATCATTAAGAAAAAATTGCTTCAACTGGGAACATTCTTGTGATGCTTTAGGTGCTTCAATCATTGCATCAGACAGCTTATCATTAACAGAGTCTGATGGCTTTCCTATTGCTGGTTCTGACAATTTCTCCTTTCCCAGATCTAATGTTTGGCCTGTAAATGCAACTCCATCAAAGTGCCTGACATGTAATGAATCAGCTACTTTTGTGCCTGGAATAAGAAGACAAAAAAAAGAGGAAAAAATAAGTCAAAACTAGCAATCCAAAGAGTGTCCATTTTTATACCCTGCAGATAAAAATCTTTAACCCTTCAATTTTAGAATTAAGAGTTGGATCATAATATCCATACATAAACAAGTTCGAGACCTGTATTTCTGTAAAGGTCCAGATCTCAGAAACGGATAGTCATGTTTGTTCAGGGATTTCCACAGCTTATCCAGAAATCAAGTTTGAGCTAATACTATGATCAATCGCCAGAGCTTACAGGTTTCAGTATGCACAACAATTGATCAATCAATTGCTCACGAGTATAAACCAATTGCTTCTTAATTTCCCTTGATTTCTAAAACTATGAAATGTACACTTTGAAGAAGCACCTATATCACATTTTTTGGCCTTTTCTAGTCTCAGTAAGTTCATCAAAACTTTAGCCTTTGTTTTAAAAAAACAAATAGAGGGAGGAACACCACATAGAGAATTGCCCTGTCATCAGTAGTGTACCACTTTTAGAAAGGTTCAAGCAGGAACCTTTTTCAGATGAGGAGGGTAGGCAACCACTAGTCCCAAGGCCTCACTAAATTTTTCGCAACTTAATTGCACAAAGAAAATAAGAAATTTGAACAAAATTCTTTAAATAACTTCTTTTGATAACAACATTGATTTATTTTATTGTTGCTGATGCATGACCTGAGGGAGGCAAATTTGACCACTGAGGCGATTTGTTGATCTCTGTTGCCATCTTCACATCTGAATCAGTACCTTTTTCTGGAAAGAGGCATCTCCTTGAGGCATCTCTTCGCCAGTGTAATCTTTTGGCTGCAGCAGCGGGCTACAGAGAAGAATGCATAAGAACATTGGCAAAAATATCTACAAGAAAACCTACAAGGAAATAGGTAATTTAAATATTGATAAATTATCAGATGTATGAAATGGTTATGAATTAAAATGTAACCTAACATGAACACCATGCATATCGAGCAAATTCATTTTTAATAATTATTGCTAGATAATCCTAGCTAACTAAAACAAGAAGTGGAGAATACATGAAGTACTGAATGAATCTACAATAAAGGATAGACCCAAGTGGGCATTATGCATACAAGATAGAGCTGTAGCTATAATTGGATGTCTCCATCTTCAGTTAAAAGCAGCTATATTGATCAGAAAAAAACAACTTTAACTCATAATTTCTAATCACTTCATGAAAAGAGTATGTTTCTAATTGAGTTGCAATTTAATAAAATTAACAATATAGCAAAAAAAACACAGTGTAAATGAACATGCCTGAGACATTGCAATTTGTGAACACCATGGATGCCATAAACCCAAAGTGGAATACTTGTGCAAAACTATAATTTATACTATTTAACAAGTCAAATGCTTCAATATAGCAGATATTTAACACTAAATTTTTATTTAGTATATAGATGGGTAGAATTAAATGATAGACAATCTAACAATAAACTTTCTCTTTGACTCACTAATGTTATTGTGACCATCTACCTAACCTAAGATGAGACTGGAAAAGGAAAGAGCTTTATAATTGTTTGGTTTTGCTTGTTTGAGATGAGGTGCCTCTTCTTCCAAGTTTCACCTCAAGATGATGTGTCTGCCTCTAACAAAGCTTGAGGATCAACAGAGAATTAAAGAATCTGAGGCTAAGACAAAAGATGAAAACATGGCCGGTACAAAGACACATCAGCGTTTTGCTTGCTTTTGATGCTTTTCTTCTCTCTTCTGACCTGATTTAGGGAATACTAAAGGGATTGAATCGCTAAAGGGGGATAGTAACAATATATTGGGACCCATTGAAGTTGACTAACCAAACATTTTTCAGTAATTATGTCCTCCCTAGGCAATGGGCATGCTACATAAGAGCTTAAAGGTTGGCTTTTGCAATTATGTTGATTCACCATATAGCATCAATTTACGCATTGTGTGGAACCTGTGATAATTAGTTACTCTCTGGGACAATTTTGGAGAAACGGAAGGTCTCACTTTTTAACATTTCAAATAATTATTTGGATATATTGTTCTACCAATTATTGCCCAAATACTACTTAAGAGCAACATTTAAAAATCAATCATACGTCTGAACAGACCTGTTTTTTTACCAATCCGACAACTGAGTAGCCGGTACACAAACTGGACAATTTTGCCCAATGCACTAGACTTACTGGGTGGTAAGCGGACTGGTACCAAGCTATACTACCAGATGGTAAACCTACCATCCAGTACAGTACCCTTAGTACTTTTTAGTTTATCTTTTTCTTCACTTCCGCTGCTACTGCTCCTCCCTCCTGTGTTATTGCCTCCTCCTCGTCAGCATTCCTCCAATGCTGCTTATCGTGTTGTGGTTTCACCTCCGCCCCATGGAACTATACGGCTCCTCGCCCTCACTCTCTTTGCTTGTAATGGTCCGGCTAGTACCAATCAGTACCGACCCATCCTGATGCTTGGAACCATGAACAAGTACTAAGTGCTGTACCAGTGGCACACTGATGCCATCCGGACCGAATCAAGGTTTTAATTGTTGCTTAAGAGAGTTTCAACAAGAGACCTCCATATCCAACAAGTGATTGGTGATGCAAAAACAAGCTGGTAAAGGTAGCCCTTGGCATCAATAAGGAGGTAGATCATGAAACCTCGGAGATACTAGTAGACTTAATCATGAATCTAGATAATGCAGTTCTAGACAGAGTGGAACAAATATCCCCCATGTTGCAGCAGATTGAGGTCAACATTGTAGTTGAGTCTATGAAGTTCCCTGCAGCTTCCTAGAACTTACAGATAGATCCACTAAGTTTTCCTGGGTTTACATGGTTAGGAAATAAATATATATCTGAAAAAGAAAAAAAGAAAAAAAATAGACGAGAAAGATCAACTGAATCATTCGAATACCTAAGACACCTAGAATTAGTGGCGCCACATTGGCACATTCACAGTCTCAGCATCAGAGACAACAGAGAGATGCATCTCTGAATCTTCGTTGTTTGCAACTCGTTTGATCACATATTCCAAATGCTCACCTTGCATTTACTAAAAGATGAGCAACTTCTGAGATTGTATCTGTAAGTTGCAGTAGGCTGAGAAGAACATGCAATTCTTTTTCTCACTGTTTCCTTGTTTCATCTTGTGAATGTCATGTGAAAAGTAACCTTCAACCAATGAGTCACTGAATTTATAATTTGCAGCAGCTTCGTTAAAATAGTAGTCATTTGCTCTTCAATCATGCGTATAATTCTGAAGTATAAAATGCCAAGACTAACCATCTGATCCAGTCACTCACCTATTTAACAATCTAAAGCAGAAAGCTACAGGCTCTCTGACTAATGATGAGACTCCCGGCTTGCTTTCAGTGAAATTCATCTGTTTGATGATCCAGCATTTATAAAATTTTTCCTTTACTATCCCATTCCTAAATGCACAAATCATTGAGTTGCAAAATTAGCTTTAGAAAAAGCCCTCTCAGATTTATCTTCTCTGATGCAGCCATCTTCCTCCTTTGTTGAACTTTTGAGCCACATACAACCTTGTGCTCTTGAGATAAATAATTGCCACAATTTTAATAAGGGTTATAATCAAGAATTCATGTGAGCTTGTCACTTAAGTCCTACTAAAATATGGAGTGTTTCTTTTATTATAAATGTAGAAATCGACGCTCAAGGCAACATAAGTCATGTCATCTTTCATCAGACACTAATTACTTAAAATGGCTGCTGCTGTCAATTCTCCTCCATATCTGCCCAAACCAGCAACATAATGAAGAGAAAACCCCAGAACGCCCTAAAATTTAAAACCACTTTAAAATCATTTGGTCAAACTTGGATCCTACATGCAAGATAAGAAGAAACCTAACAGTGGATCGTCTAGAAATAATCAAATTTAATCTGGTTTCCTTTCTTCCCAACAATGATATGATGAAGACATCTAAGTTCCTGCATCAATATATTTCTATTTTCTTAAGCAGACACATATAGCCTAAATACAACTATCAATACAGATGTCAGTAGTGCAAAAAAAAAAAGACGTCAGTAATCAATAAGCACCATCATATGAGTTAGCTGCCTTCAATTATGAGCTGCATGCCATAACACTATGAATGACTCTGAGACATTAATTTCATAAAATATATAGTAAAAAATAAAACTCAACTTATTTGCCACTATATTTTATCCAACAATGCCATGCAGAAAGCAATATAGATAAAAACAGTTCAATATCAATTAGAACAAGTAATGATTGTATGAGTCTCGAAGAAATATGATATAAACTTACATGTAGTTCCCTTTCTACAGTATGCAACTCACGTATACTCCTTTTCTGTGGTTTGCTTGCACATTTATTGACATCTCCAGTTTCAATATACCGAAATGCATCCTTTAAGGAGCGAAATGCATATTCACCATCTGGATCAATGTATAACTGTTGCAGCAAACAGCAGACAATAAAAGATATATCTGATAATCTGATATAACTTCTGCAAAGTGGACATCCTCCAGACCACAGAAACAGATTGCTTATACTATATGGAAAAGTGAGTTAAGTAATGATCTAAAAACAAAATAAGCCAAGAATGGATAAACAATGGCAATCATACACATGAATACATCAAGCCATGAATAGTTGAAATGGAAATTTTTTTATCATCATAATCACTTCCGAAGGTGAAATACCTGTGCATTATATTCATTTGGCATTGTGCAGATTCTGACACTACAAAGTTAAATGTAATTTAACTTTTTAAATGAAGTACTTTTTGCATGTTAACTCATGCAAAGTAAATGATAATTGTAGTAAAGAGATGCACTTCTTCTTTCAACCAAGGCTTATCAATCCTATAGTGATCTCCACTTGGAATGGTGCAGTATCAATATGGTGCCATATAGCGAGTTGACATGCTTAGTGCACTGCAGGTCTAAAAGATATCTTTACCAATTCATTTTGGATTTTGATGGTTCTGAGTGATCTTCAACGGTTCTGTATTGTCTATGATACATATCATGAACAAGAATATCTTCTAGGACCACAAAAATTTATACTGAGCATAATATCTCGATGAAGGATAACATATATGATAACTTTGTGAGTCAAGCAACCATATTGCATCACAAGAAATGCCATTTCACCTGGACTCGTATGAAACGAGCGATACATATTGGTCCGGGCATAAGCCGGTACACAGATTGCCCCCATTTTGGCGGTCTGGACCAACCAACAAAAAAAAGAAAGAAAAATGACTTTAACAAGTTTCAGGTTTAGGGCTCACATTCACAAGCTCTCTTCACTGACACGCAGCTGAACCATTGCCACTCGTCACCGCCCTAATTTCGAGTACATTTCCTCCTCTTCTACCTCCTCTTCTTCCTTCAACCCCTCCTCTCCTTCCTTCTTCTTCCTACTTTCTCCTCTTCTTCCTTCCTCTTCCTCCTTTTCCTCCACCACCATTTGTATGATCAGTATGTATCAGTGTACCAAGTGTTGTTATACTGATACTGATCGATATGTACCAATTTGACCAAGGACCGATATGCCTGGTCGTGCCGATGTTCCTTGTTGCACTGTATCATAATTCAACAATAAACAATTCATGTTTTAAGCCCAATGATTCAGTATATTTTAAAAGAATAATGATCTCATCAAATAAATCTAAAGCCACATCAAATGGCAAGGACTAGAGCGTTTACTAGCACCAGAATCAAGTAATAATTCTGTCTAATATATTCCAGATACTAGCCCTATGTCATATGCTGCAAATCTTGTACTGCTGATTATATTGAATTGGGTACTACAGATTGATGTCTATCAAATGGTTCATCTTGCATGTGGATGAAACCAAGAGTTCCACTCGAGCAATGAGTTGGGCCTTGAACTGGCTAGCCAAAACTAGGCATGGACTTGTACTGGATGAAAAGGACAACACTGATCTCTCTGGGATTTTTACTAACCTGTATGCAGTGGTACCCAATACCCATAATGATACTTCATAATATCGAGACCAGGACAGCATTTCATTGTTTCAATCTGCAGATGATTGTCCTTTACATATGCATAAAAACTAATGCAAAATGCTAATGTGGTCAAACTAACTGGATAGAAAGCCTTGTAATTTGCATATAAATGTGTGGTTATGTACATGGTCCTTATTGGCAGAACATTCAAAGCGAGCAGCTGCGTCCATTTCTGTAGCCAGTTACTTGGATACACAAAGCATGGTTTTTTTTTCCCCCTCAAAAACTATGGGTCAATAGTTATTCTAATCCAAATAGCTTCAAATGAGTATAAACTACCAAATACCATCACATACTTGATAAGTTCTAAATACAGTTGTCATTTACTGATATTTTTGTGAACTCCAGTATATGCTGCTCTGTAAGTTATAGTTTTGTACCATGTTTTATATGTTTTGAATGGAATTTTAACATCAAATCATGTGCTGCAAAATGATGCATAATGCATACACACTATATGGTGTCTCAGCCAGCTGCATACTGAAGAGGAATACAGTATATTCCACAGTATCCATACAGCATTTTCTTAAAAAAGCATTATATTTATCGAATTTTTATTATATTGATGTTTCATTACTTTAGGGGCCTATGGGATCATAACAAACACAAGGTGGAAGCAACATTCAAGCTATTCAATAAATTTATAAATAAAAGGATCGATTTTATGTTTCCTTTTTGTAATTAGCTTATCGTAATTAAGGCTTTGAGCTTGGGTTGTAATATTGTTATGTTTTCCATGTCATTGTACTATTTTTAAATTGTTGGCACATTTTGAATGTTTCTGTATTGGAAATCCACTTTGGATGTGATAATCTAATTGTCTTGAAAGCCCTTTAGGCCTTCTGCTTCACTGGGAGGCCCTTTAAGGCTTTCATGACCCTTTGTGGCCTCACCTCTGTTCACACAATCCCTTGAGCAACCTACAAAATTTCCTGAATCCCTTGAAGTTGTGAACTTGTGATCATGTTTTGCATAATCTGCATGCCCAAGTTAACCTCTGGGACCCTTAGATTGTCCAAGTAGGGGTTTTAGCTAGTAATAACTGGGTCTAGTAGATGTGTCTCATACCTCAAGGGCCCTTCAAAGCTCTTTAATCACCCAAGGGGACCTACCTTGCCTACTCAAAAAGGATCAAAAGCTAGTGATGTCCCTGACTGGAATTTAGAGAGTTTAATGAGACTTTTGAAGCCAAGTGCACTAGGATGAATCGATATATATGATGATCTAGTGTTTAGCAGTCCTTTCTTAGTCTACAAAAGTTCTATTAGTCTTTTGATTTGGCGGAGAAGTCAACCCTACAAATGTAAAAGAGAAAGAGGCTGGAGAATGAATAAGAAACATGAAATCTAGAAGTAAAAGATTTTGGTATTATATGTCCAAAGAATATGTAGATCAATAAAAATACTCCTCAGCATTTCAATTTAATGTCAATATTTCATCCAAGTAAGGATACAAATAATTGAAATACATTACAGTTGAATTAATTATACACTACGAAATAGTACCGTTTCATTTACAGGTTTTCCTCGTTTGTACTTTCTGAACCTTATCTCCTTAATCCACCCATGAGGTAACTCGTTTGAACCATATCCAGTTGGAGCCTGAACCATCAAACATATTAAAGTGTCATTGTACTAAAGGAGAACCCATAAACACTAAAGGAGAAGCTTGCATAAGAGCAAACATTGTTGGAGGAGCTCTCCTTGATGCTCTTCTCTTGACTGGTTGAAGTGCAAGGTTTCTTCATGTTACTTGAGGTGATACTCCTTGTCTCTCTGATTGTAGGACTAAAATCCTTTCTGGCATTAAGATGCCGAAATACCTGTTTCTTTGAGTAGAATCTGGATCCAGTAGATGGATTGTAATAGCACTGGAGGAAAAAAGTAGATGAATGAATCATCAAAGCCATATACTATTAGAGAATATTGTATTTCCTAACACAAAATAGCTGGCACCGTTTTAGTTGTAAATATGTTCTGGATTATCTTGATATCGACACAACTATAACAATTAAACAAGTTAAACAAGAATTAAAGAAAAGCATGAGATACAATCTACACGTTGCAAGACTAATGCAAGCATATGTAAACAATATATAGACTGCCAAGGTTGCAGCCTATGTTTGGTGTTTATGTTATATTCACCCTCACGCTTTCATAGATTGGGCACTCATTAATTCTTAAAACATTAGTAGAAAGTGAAAGGATGCCATTGAAAATGCACTTTTAAGTTTCTGAGTCTTAGCTTCAATGTTACAGATTTTTATGATACTGATAAATAGATAAGATATATAACTAATTTAAAAAAAATCCTCTATGTAACTTTGTATTTTCTTTTCTCCTTAGCAAGCAGACAATTAATATATGAATCTAGACCTGATTCTCATGTCAATGTATTGCTCGTTAAGAAAACAAAAAATTAAGAAATAAAAAGGACAACCATCTACATGAGAATTCCACCAATACCGGGTCAAAGTAGGGTCAACATAAGAAACTTATTCAGGTCATCCAACTATAACTATTTTTGAAAGATCCAGAATGTACACTCGAACTTGAATCGTTTCTCAGTCAGAAATATGCCATGAACTATATAGAAAGTTAATGGATCATATATTAGTATTCTTTATAAAGAACAGGAGTAATAACAAATTAACTTCATTCACAACTATTGGAAACAAGTAAAATAATTATATTAAGGTTAACAATGAAAGAACAATTTTAGTACCTTTATCTCTCGTCCTGCATATGCCCCATTCTTTTGAGTTCTAGTCTCCAAAACCCAACCAGAAGGCAACCAATCAGGTGAATCTTTTACTTCTCTGACAAGCTACAATATGCAAATAACCAGAGCATGTTAGAGTCCATATTCCAAACAAAAGAACAATTCCGAGCAAAATCTAATATTACATGGAGTGTGTTTGCTCCCACACAAGATGCCGGCTAGGATGCATTTTACGACAAAGATAGTATGCAAACTCTTATATGTATTGTGCAATAGGAGTTGGGATTGTTATAAGGGTGTTAAGGCTCAATAAAATTGGAAATGAGCTGAACAAAATAAGGCTAAAATTAAAGGATGTTCTAATCTTTTAATTTTAAGAAAAAAATTAACCAACAAAAAGAGGTAGAGTAGAGTTCAAGGTAGACATACCATAACTTCTAGGAAAAGAGAGTTTTCTAGCTAACCTTCCCAAAGTATTGAAGTTGCTCTACTTGTCTCTAATGAAGCAGAAGATTTTGCTACAAAACACCAGATAACCAACAATTGAAGACTCAAGATTGTTTAAGGTAATTGAAAAGTGCTAGACACAGGGTTGACAAAAGGTAGGGTACTGTTAAATTGAAAGACCAGGAAGCTCAACAGGTAAAGGTCAGGATACCGGGATTAATGATGTTTTTGGGAGATTCAATTCTTAAAATAAAATTAACAAATTATAGGACAGAGGAAGAGAAGGAAAATGATAGATATTTTGGATTCATTATATATCTTATGAGCTCTGTTTTAAAGGGGAGAGACACCACTCACACATAATATTACAGGGAATACTTCATATCGTTCAACCATGTAAATGCTTTTAAAATCTCCTCTTCATATAGCCTCTCCAAGTGTATAAAGGAAAGACAAACTAGAATAAATTAATAAGAAAGTATACAAGGAAATTTTAATCAATCAATGTCCTGAATTAACGGCTATAACCAGAACCAATCAACCCCATCTTTTATTTCTTGGAGAAGATTCAGTTTCATATTCGTCTGATCCCTAATCATGAATAACCTTTCTTACTTTACAACATCATTGTTGGAATTGGTTTTATTATTGGACATCTTCAATCAACCCAATCTTCCGCATCATCTGGTGCACCAGCTTAGCTTCTTCTTCCTCTTATTATTATTATTTATTTATTTTTTCTTGAAAATCTTAGCAGGAAGTGACAATGAAGTCCCCACCCATCCACCCCAAGAAAATAGGACGTTACAATGTGAGAAACTAGTAGAACTGTGAAAAGACTCAAACTAGCAAATACTAAAACAGGTCCACATTAAGTTCAATACATGAAAACTAAGTTAAATACCTAAGTTTATGATCAATCCATAAAGACTTGAGCAGGACTTTCATCTTTCAACTCCTGGGTAGACTTGATAGGTGCACTGGTATTATAGCCTGAAGAAAATGAGCTTATAGGCTTGGCCTCCTTTTGCCTCAACAAAAGATGGCTTTGGTTTCTACACTTAATTGTGATCACATATCATGCTTAACTTCTAAAATTATTGAATTTTGAACTCTTTTTTCATCATAGCATTATCCATAAAGATTCCAGATTAGGATAGTACCTGACCTTCTCATATATACCATGAACATATAGGACAAGATAAACAACAGTCTCTAATGATGCCAACTCATTTGTACAACAAATATTTAGCATATATAAACAAAGGGCCTGCAAAAAGGATAATCAACAATCAGAGAGTTCCTGAAAATTGGATGGTTAAAATTAACATATACAGAGGAGGGGGAAGTGCACAGCTAAGGGAAAGGATTCACTAGATGGACGTGGCTGGGCATGAAGTTAGGATATTAAGCTACCATAGGAGTATAGGAGCAAGAGGAAGGTTGAGAGGGTGGGGACTGGGGAGAGAAGTGGGTGTAATTCGATGATAATTCTGGCATTTTAAGGCCTAGTTACCAGTCATCTTTAGTTTCTTTTCTTAATTGTAACTCTTTGATCTTAATTAAACGATTCTTATTTGGTACCAAGCCACTCTTAAGAAAGAAAAGAAAAAGTACTCTGGCAAAAAGCATATATCTACATCTCAGTATATAATGGGACCAAGGGCATTCGATCTACACCAACACCAACCAATAGCCAAAAGATCATTTATTTATTTTCTTCTCTTTGACTCAGTGCAACTCCCCTATATCCTATTCTTGCCAATGTGTCTATAGGTTGTGCAGAAGGCTATTGTGTGGGAGATCTATTGTGGCTCATATTATCTCATAAGCAAACAAAAACCACCAAGAGTCAGATTGATTGCTATTGGAGACAAGGGCTGCAACTAAGACAGGTTAGTTCTGGCTGGGTATTTCTCCAGGTCCAATACATCAAACCCAGCCCTTTGTCCAAAACCCAATCCGGCCCTTTGAACCAAAACAGCCTGCAACTCCTACCCCTTTTGCCCAAGCCCAAGCCAACATCAAATTTCTGAACTCATATTGGAAATTGGGTTGACCGGGCCAGGCTTATGTTTGTTTTGGGTTTGGACCAAGACAATAACAAGATATAGAATACACTCCACATGAGTTTAGGTGATGTTGCAACATGTCAAATACTAATAACTCCAAGAAACATATAATAATGCAGTACTGGATTAAAAAGTAGCAATATATGTCATATAAAGCAATATATCTGGTGGATGAAAAGGTAAGTTAGGTCAGTTACTTTGCTACCAGATCCCTTAACCTGATTGCAACCTGGATTTCCTCGGATTGACATTTACTTGACCCAAGCCTGTCGACGGTATTCCTGTACAGACCCCGCACAAGGTCCATTTGGGGTCAGCTTGATCCTGGATCAACCAGATCAGGTTGTAGCGTACTATACTATAGACATGAGCAACATTTTCTCCCAACTCAAAACATTTTCACGGCACCTTTCACTCATACACTGCCAATCTTACGGAAAAACGGTCAATTCAGTTACTTCATAACACATCACTGAACTTTTCTGCCAATATGCAATAGAAAGATAAAGGAGAAACCAAAAAACTAGAAGAATCACAAGCTACCGACACCTTCAACTGTTAAAACTCGAGTAGAACCCTAAATCTGTCCTCCTTTCCCTAAAACGTTCGAGTTCCTTTCCCCTCTCTTCCGTAAATCATTAGCAATCTGACCTTTCTGCCATTTTCCTCGACAAAAACCTAAATCTATACTCTCTACCATTTCCGTCAGACAAACCGTCTCAAATCTCGCAGAAGTGCAAGCACAATCCGCATTCCCAACAGAGAGATAAAAGGCAGAACACCCCAAATGCCTTGCAATCTTTCGCAAGAAACTGATCATGGAAATTTAGCTGAAGCACAAGAAAGAAGAACCGAGTAAAGAAAAGAGAACAGAGAAGTAGCGGACACGGGTACGATCTACCAGATGATTCGCTCCGTCGGCGGTCGTCCCGACCTCCGGCGACGCGCAATCTGGCCGCTCCTCCGACGCCATTCCCAAAGTGAAACCCTCCTCCGGCGATCTCTGGCCGGAATCGATGAGTTACATGGGTCGCTCCTTCTCGATCTCCTCGCCCCCTTTCTTTGGTGTCGACTAGAGACAGTGGGCATCCCTGCTAGTCCACGGGAGGTCGCCGAGACCCACGTGTTGGTGCTGCTCAGTGATGGTGATTCGCGTCAAGGAGACGTGGACGCTCGAGATCGGCACAAGAACAGATCGGACGGCTCAAAGAACGTACTTTTTCTTCTTGACAAAGGGAAGTCATCACGGGGAAAAGAATCTGAATTTTTTATTTATTTTTGCTCATTTGGGCACATTTACGGATCTCCAAATAAGATAAATCTGGAAAAGTTCCGTCTAAGTGGACAAGCGGATCAAATTATTATTATTATTATTATTATTATTATATCAGGACGGAAATATTATTATTATTATTATTATTATTATTATTATTATTATTATTATTATTATTATTATTATATCAGGACGGAAATATTATTATTATTATTATTATTATTATATCAGGACGGAAATATTATTATTATTATTATTATTATTATTATTATTATTATTATTCTCGACCCCTTGACGGGCGTCGTTCGCTCGGCTTCCTCGCTCTCGATAAAGACTCCTCACAGTGGTCTTCCTTGTCGTATTCGATGCTATCAGTGGTGCGCTCTTGATATGTAAAAATAAAGATAGCGTCTTTGTTCTTAATGCGCTGCTCAGCCTTAAAGATTGGAGTGAATGAATCCTGGGAAGAACGAATTCTCCCTTTGCAGTGAGTTCACACACCAGTGGTGCTATTATTTTCTTGCCCTTCTTTCTTTCTTTCTTTCTTTCTTTCTCTGTTTTGTGCCTCCTAGTTTCTTTCGTACTTCGTTTCCCAAGCTTTATACTATGCTCAATTTGCACTGAACGTTAAACTCAATCGATTTACGACGAGAGCACTATTGCCGTCAAACTATTACTTTTAAATATATCAAGATCTTTTTTTTCCTTTTTTCGCCACTTTTTACATTGCAATCCATTATAATTAGTCATTGCAGTCCACAGGGAACTGTTATCTTTACATGATCCTTATAGCTTCTCTTTCCATCGAATACTTGAGTTGTAAATCTTTTTGCACTTCAGTACCACCACTTTAATTTAGTATGCACTTCTCTGTTGCAGAATCTCATTCCGTATATATCTATGTTGTTTATCTATACTAAAATCAAGGCTTCATCTTGATGTGACTTATCTAACTTCATAATATATTATGTTATACTTATCCTCTTTTGTAAACAAAGCTTCTCTGGGGCTTTGACAATGCTTTAGTTATCTCTTTTATGCAAGCAAATGCTTCTTAAATTATGTATTGGAAATTATAGGGTGGTATGGAAAATTTATAATTCTCTCATGTTCTTTTTTTTTTTCTAATATGAAGGAAGAGGCATCATAGAGCTAATATGAAGAAATTATAATTTTTAAGAGAGATATTTAAATTATAATTTTGTTCAAGTTTAGAAAAAGCACCATAAAGCATATTTCTGAGAATGAGATCATTCATTATGTAGGTAATTTCATATTATAATGATCAAGTTTGTTCAGGTAATTTCATACATACTAGGGCTTGAAAATGAAATCATTATGTAGGTAAATGCCTGAACGTTTGTTGCTGTCAAGGGGCTATCTACACAGAATATTTCTGAGAATCTGTCACTGAGAGATGAAACTGCAAAATCTTCTAGGATGCTGTAATGGTCTTGAGGGGTTGAGTTGTTCAGCTTGGAACTTAGTTTATTAGTCTTCCTTCTTTGTGGATCATGTAGGTTGACCCTCTTTAACACCAAGTAAAGCATTGTGATTTGATGCCAAATTTCTGGTCTGTTGATCATTTTTAGTGTAACCTGTACTACATACATGTATTCTCTACTATTGGAGTCTGAAAATGAAAAATGCATGCTATAGCAGTTTGTCACTAACACTACTGACTATGTTGGAGAATAATTTTGATAAATAGTTTCCACTTGATTAATCTGAAAGGAATGGGATTCCTTTTCAACTAGTGGTGTCATTAGATTGTTGTTCTTTTTTGGCATATTTCAGCATTAGATTTATATGACCTCTTGTGCAATATTTCAATATGTACTGGGTTCCACATAATTTAGGGCTTCTGATATTTGTTCTCCTTATAACTCACAAACTGTACTTATAATGTTGAAAGGAAAGTTTTCATGATTTTGTTTGAGTCACAGAAGGTGTTCCCACATCAGAATGAAACTACATGTTGGATCAAGGCAAGTATATATGCAATAGTGTCTTTCTTGTGTTTTATTTATCAAAGTTCTAATAGGTTTCTGATGCATGAAACACTCATCACTGTCTTGATATTTTTATTTGCTGCTTCCTTTGTATCAAATATAATCAAACATTCCCTATCTCACAATTGCCACATCTAGGATTGTCGAAGAAGAGAAGTAAATTGACTGGAGAGGATGACACTCTTTTGAGTGAAAGAGATTAAAAGACACACCCATACACATTACAAGGCTTGAAAAGATCCCTATATATAAGTAACAAAAACATGAGTTTGCATATGTAGATATTTAATGCACAAAAATCACAGATGTGGAATTTAAAAGACATTATCTAGACTTACTTTTGCATATTTATTAATATTTAATGCAAGAAAACACATAGGACATTGAATTCTTAATGCCACAACCCTCTTCTAAGGATATAATATATATCATCAATAAATAATCTGAAAACACAGTAGAACCAAAAGACATATTAGTGCTATCTAAATTGTTTTTAAAAAAATGTGATTTATTTTATCAATATTTGAAGTAGTGTACTCCCAGTGGCTGGATATCATAACATGAGCATAATATTTCCAATTAGTGATAACTATATCTGTGATTCAGACCCATCATGTCCATTTGCCATAAACCACTCAAGGTTATGATAAGTTCATCTCAAACAAAAAGAAAAAAGAAGTTCCATGATCTAGGTACTGATGAAAGAGAAATTTAATAAAATCCAAGTTCGTTATAATTTACAAACTTGCCATAAGGTTTCATAAAGAAAATCCATGATGTAGTATAAATTTGATAAAGAAATATTACACTTCTCCTTTGGTTTCATGGGTTACAACCATAACCTTGATCTGATCTGAACAACTTAATTTTCATTCTTGCAAAGTTTACTTTTGCAGTAACATAAAATTTGTCACATATGTTGTCTATGAAGCAAAAATATGCATACCTCCATTTTTGTTTGTAAAGTAGTATACCCCATACTGACCAAAAGCCAACCACAAATCCTGGTCCCAAGCTAAGATAGAAGTAGAACATTTCTTCTGCCTCCACATCTGTGTCAATGTTATTTGGATCTTGAGATGGTTTGGTATCTTGGTTCTCCTTATTCAGGGGGTACCCATAAAGATCAGGATTACCCATATAACTAGATGAGCCAAAGGTTTCTAGATGGTTGCCTGATGGAATCTTTCCTGAAAGCTTGTTAAATGATAAATTCAAGAAGCCAAGGAAATCTAAAGTCGTTAAAGTTGAAGGTACTGGTCCAGTTAACTCATTGTGTGATAAATCAAGAGACTCCAGATTTTGTAATCCTCCAATCTTCATTGTTATCTGTCCTGCTAGGTGATTATTAGAAAGATCTAAGCTTTGCAGCCCAGAAAGATTTGTTATTTCTTCAGGGATACTTCCTGACAAGTAATTGTAAGAGAGGTCTATGGCTGTCAAAAGTAAGAGAATCTTTACATACTGTGATTCTCTTCCTTTTGTAACTACTGAGATGCTATCTGTATAATAGTTATCAGACCCAGGTGTGAAGCTTATCGTATTCTGGGCAAACTTCATTGCATTAAGGTCCTCAAAGCTTGTTGGTATTGTGCCCGACAGATTATTATGTGAGAGGTCCATAATTTGTAGAACTTGAAAATATGCAATTGATGGTGGAATATGTCCATGGAACATGTTATGCCTTAAGATTAGAATCTTCAAGCATGGCATTCTTTCTCCTAACCATCTTGGCAGGCAACCTCCCAACCTGTTTAGTCCAAGATCAAGGATGACCAAACTATTCAATGTCACTACGCAGTTAGGGATCTCTCCAGAAAGGTTGTTGTTGCTCAAGTGCAGAGACTCAAGGGAGGTCAGAGAACAGATAGATTTTGGAATTTTTCCTGACAAGTTGTTGTTTGACAGATTTATAACCTGCAAAACCGAAGAGTTCTTCCAACAGCTAGGCAGCTCATGAGACAAATGGTTTTCTGAGAGATCGAGCACAATCAACTGCTCTAACTTACATATGGAGGATGGAATGCTGCCAGCAATATAATTTGCTCTTAGGAAGAAAGTCTGTAGACTCGGAAAAGCTTCACCAATAATGGATGGAAGAGGTCCTGGAAAAAGAAAGAAAAAAGAGAGGTGAGCAGTTATAATGTTCAACATTTATATTTCTACAAGAATAAGAAAAATTTTTAGATGAGAGGAACCTTCAAGGAGATTGTTAGATAGGTCGAGGACTTTGAGGTAGGACATGTTCCCAATTGACAGCGAAGAATGGAGATAGTTTTTGCCAAGAAATAGATACTCCAGCGCAGTTAGCTTGAATAACCAACTTGGTAAGGTGGAACTAATTTGATTATTGGAAAGATCGAGGATAGACAGATATGTGAAATTCAATTGTGGCAAGGTGTAAGGAATGCTTGCAATCTGACATTGAGATAAGTGAATCTCCATTATGTAAGGCAACATGTTCAGTGCTTCTGCCCAATTTGATGCATTGCTAATGTTAGTTCCTGTCATGTCAAGGTGCTGCAACAATGTTAAACGGGAAAGCCACGATGCATCGTCAACATCAAGATTGTTGTATGAGAGATCCAAATAGAGTAAGCTGGAGAGGTTCCCTAGTTGCTGTGGCACTGTTGTCAAGAAACCTGCACCTGAGAGATTCAGGTACCCCAAGTTCTTATATGATCCAAAGAAGTCTGGTATACTAGATCGAAAGTCATTCATGCTCAAATCAAGGTAGTTCAAGTATTCGAGAGTCATCAGTGTTGAACTTATCTCCTCCACTAGGATCAAGGACCAGGAAGCATCAGAAGGTGAATCTGTGTGTGGCTGGGGATTCCGGAGGTCTAGTTTGATGACTCTCCCTAGCTGGTCGTCGCAGCCCACACCGTGCCATGTGCAGCAGTCATCTCCGGACCAAGAGGAGAGCCGGTTGCTTGGATCATACAGTGCTTCTTTGAGTTGTAGAAGTGCACGCATCTCCACCTCTGGACAGTGGATAGTGGAACCGTCATCTCCGTTGCAGAAGTTTGAATGTTGAATGTGGTATATGGATATGAATGCAAGCAAAACAGCGACAATTGCAGGGAATTGAAGAACCACCATGACTGAGTGATTTGTTCTAAAACCTAAACAGAATCTAATAAGCTAGTCCTTTTTGAATGAACGAAAAGGAATAGCCATTTGGAAGCGTTTCCAGCAGTCATTTAGGACATTCAAAGAAGACTCAAGTGCCAGTCTTGTTTCCAAGTCTTTGTGATTCTTGGACCCACACATGTGCTACAAGAGTTATGCTTCATCGTTTCTTAATCATAGCAATTTCGTCGACCAGGTCAATGAGGGACCTTGGTGGAAAAAGTCTGAGGTGGTGATACTTCCACCAGTTGTTTGAACTTTGGAGGTTTGAACATTCAAAGAAGACTCAAGTGCCAGACTTGTTTCCAAGTCTTTGTGATTCTTGAACCCATACAAGTCTTTGTGAATCTAATAAGCTAGTCCTTTTTAAATGAACAAAAAGGACAAGCCATTTGGAAGCTTTTCCAGGAGTCGTTTAGAACATTCAAAGAAGACTCGAGTGCCAGGCTTGTTTCCAAGTCATTGTGATTCTTGGACCCACACATGTGCTACAAGAGTCATGCTTCATCGTTTCTTAATCAAAGCAATTTGTCGATCAAGTCAATGAGGGACCTAGGTAGAAAAGGACAGATGTTGGTTTCTGGCCACTGTGGAATTACCCAAATGAAGGATGCTTGGAACTTGGAAGCTCCAACGAATAGGCCAGGAAGCTCATCCAGAAGTTGTTTAGAATAATCAAGGTTCAGAACAATTTCTTTTTTTATCAAGGTTCAGAACATTTGAAAGCTAGTATTCTTTCCAATATTATCTTATTCAAAGTTCAGAAATTCTGTCTGGAAATTTCCTACCTTGTTTAACTTCAGCAATTACATAATGTGACTCTCTTTGTCTTTTCCTCTCAAGGTGATGACTACTAAAACGTACACTAGGGTTTTGACTCGAGGACTTGTTGAATTTTCCATTCCAAAGGTGCCTTTCTTCATATTCTTTTGGCCTACATTAGATTTTAATACTGCGGCAACAAGTTTATGTCAGGATATATGTTAAGTACACACTGGCTTCTATTCTGACATGATAAATCGACTGTGTCCAACAATTTCTCTCTTCAAGAACTATTTCATTGTGAAAGAAGAAAAACTATATTGGACTGAAGCAAAAGAAGATTTTCAAGCCACATCTCTTCCAAGAACTTGGCATTGAGATAGGTGCACTCCGTTTGCTACATATCTACATCCATTTCAGGTGAAAAGAAATCAATATTCAACTGTAGTACTTGATCACCATGTGTAATCCTCTGCTATCTTCTCCATATTACGTGAGGGTTGCTGCTATTCTGCTTGTTTTTCTCTTTGTCAATTCCCCCATCTGTCCTGCTGGCTTCACTTGTCAAGACAATGAGAGGCAAGCCCTCTTCCAATTCAAGATAGGACTCAAGGATCCTGGTAATCGACTGTCTTCTTGGGACGTGACCACCGACTGCTGCTTGTGGAAGGGAGTTTCCTGTGACAATAGGACAGGGCATGTAATTGGATTAGACCTTCACAATGATCACAATGAACACCAGCACCGATACCAGGAGCAGAGTGTTTCAGATGACAGATGGGCCTTGGGAGGTGAACTTAGTCCGTGTTTGCTCGCCATCGAGCATTTGACTACTCTGGACCTCAGTGGCAATTACTTCGGAAATATGCTCATACCTCATTTCTTGGGCTCCTTCAAGCAGTTGGCCACTCTGAGACTGTCAAGAGCAGGCTTTGGTGGAAGAATACCTCACCAGCTTGGCAATCTCTTGAGCCTGCACCAACTTGATCTTTCGAACAACGGGCATTCCCTCCTGCTTGACGATTGCTGGTGGCTCTCTAATCTCACCTCTTTGCAACACCTAGACTTGAGCTTTGTTAACTTTGGAATTGCAGCCAACTGGCTGGAGGCACTGAACGCACTCCACTCCATACTCGAGATACGCCTGTCTCAGTGTGGCCTTCTGAATGGCATTCCCAGCTCTTTTCAGCACTTAAATTTAACATCACTAGTCACCCTTGATCTCTCAGATAACTACTCCAATTCTACCCTGCCTACCTGGCTGTTTGATCTAAAAAGTCTTCAAAATCTCTTCCTCAGAGGGAACTACTTTTATGGCTCTATTCCTGCGAGTATCGGTAACATGTCTTCTCTCACTGTACTAGAACTCTCTGATAGGTTTTCTCTTAGAGGTTCAATCCCCGGGGCTCTTGGGAACCTCTGTAAGCTGCAGCAGCTCGATCTGACATGGTCACCTCTCAGACAAAATTTAAGTGACATGAAGGAAATATTTTCTGGATGCGTCAAGAATAGCTTAACAAAATTGAGCTTGCGAGGTGCTTCTCTCAGTGGTTATCTTCCAGAATGGATAGGGGATTTCCAGAATCTCAAAATTTTGGATTTATCTATGAACTCACTATCCGGTAAGCTGCCTTCCTCACTTGGAAGATTACTATCTCTACAACAGTTGAGTCTGTATGGAAATGAACTGAATGGTGATGTTCCGGAAACCATTGGATGGCTCTCAGAGCTAGTTATCTTGAAGCTTGGCCTGAATTCTTTCAAAGGTGGTCTGTCTGAGAACTTTTTTGCTAATCTGACAAAGTTAAAGAACCTTGGTCTTTCCTCCACGTCCTTGGCTTTGAATGTAAGACCAGACTGGAAACCTCTATTCCGGCTCGAGTACATTAACATGAGTTCATGCATATTAGGACCTCAATTTCCTTCATGGATTAAAACACAAGAGAGCCTGTCCTCGCTGCACATGTATGACGTTAACATTTCAGATTCCATACCTGATTGGTTTTGGAACTTTTCATCCAGCTTGGAGTTCATTGATCTCTCTCACAATGGTATCAGAGGTATGCTGCCAGACTTATCAGAGCTATCTGACAGTAAGCTCACCTATGTGGATCTGAGTTGCAACTTGTTGGAGGGGACAGTGCCACAATTTCCTAGAAGTATATCCTATCTGTTTCTGTCGAATAACTCATTTTCAGGGCTTATTCCTCCTGGCATCCACAAGACAATGCCCAAATTGCAATACTTGTTCTTGTCAAAGAACAATCTTAGTGGCAGCATACCTTTATTTCCGTGTAATTTGGAGGAGCTGATAGCTCTCGATTTATCAGACAATCATCTATCTGGAGAACTCCCTGATTGCTGGAAGGGTTCTTCAAACTTGCAGGATTTGGATTTCTCTCAAAATGAGATATCCGGACAGATTCCCATCTCAATTTCTCATCTGACATCCCTGGAGCATTTGATCTTGAGAGGAAATAGACTGTCTGGTGGTCTTCCGTCTTCCCTTGATAGTTGTCGGGCAATGGTGTTACTTGATCTCAGTTATAACCAGTTATCTGGAGAAATAACATGGATGGACAGAAGCTTCTCAAATTTAAAATTTCTTAACCTTAGGGCCAATATGTTCAGTGGCAACCTACCTCCGTTATCTCAGCTAAATTCTCTACGAATCTTGGACCTCTCGAGAAACAATTTTTCTGGAAACATTCCCAAGAGCTATGGTAATTTGCGTGCCATGTCTTATTCCCTCAACCACGTGCCAAGTGAAACTGCTTCCTACTCCCATGTTGCCATGAACCTAGAAATCAAGGGTTTATATATCCAGTTCAGCAATGTGCTTAATCTGGTAGCGGCCATAGATCTGTCAAAAAATCACTTATTGGGACCTATCCCTGAAGAACTGACAGATCTTTATGGATTGAGATTTTTGAATTTATCTGGAAATAATCTAACAGGGCACATCCCAGACAAAATAAACTTATTAAAGGTTTTGGAGGCTCTTGATTTATCAAGCAACAATCTGTCAGGTGCAATTCCTCCCAGCTTTGGTCAACTAAATTTCTTGAGCTACATGAATTTATCTTACAACAACCTATCGGGAAGAATTCCAATTTCAGGTCAACTTTCAACTTTCGATTCAACAATTTATGTAGGTAATCAAGGCCTTTGTGGTATTCCTTTGCATGAGTGCCAAGATAAGGTCAGTATAAAAGACGAAGCTCATTTAACCAGTCCTGAGATTTGGTTGCACCTCAGTGCAGAGCTGGTCATGTTTATGCTTCTGCTATAGCTGGTTATTGGATCAAAGTTCCTGGAAGTTGGCTGCCCCTTGGAGTCTGCATCCATTTCATCTGTAAAAGCTGTGGAAAAGGTGAAAGGCACTTCTTATACCCAACTTATATGACTGCCACCCTGTTCTTTGCTTGATCTTGTTGGGATGATGTGTCAAAACATTAACCCTACAAATAAGCCCTCTCTTTGGTTGCTCCAGCATATGGATGATTTCACTGCCTGGGCATGTTTGCAAATGGTTACAAATGTTTAATCTTTGTATTTAAGATGTTCATGCATATCATAAACCTTTATCATTATGCCTATTATGCCTAAGAAAATGAGAAAACCTCAAGTTCTCTTATTTTGTGATGCAAAATATGTTAAGAAAACCACAATCAGATGACAGATTGCATATCCCATTTTTTATGTGCTGGTGAGTTCTGCTGGGCTTCTATTACCACCTGGTGGTAGTTGCCACCTCAATAGTCTCTTTTCACACAAATAGTTCTTCTTCAATAGCTTGGATTAAGTTCTAATTAAACAAAGACTTTTTGGTTAAATTACAGACCTAACTAAGATGTTTACAACACTATTGTAGATAATATCTACTTTGTACAACATATTCTTGTTCCCAGTAGCTCTCTGAATAGTGTCTAATAAAAGAAGGCTAAATCGAGCCAAAAAGCCTCAAATCTACAAAATATTCACTAACAATAAGAAAACTCAAATGTACATTAACAATAACATTAGTAAAGTCGTAAGATTTTAATTACTTTATAAATGATTCAATGAATCTTTTACCCGTAGAAAGTCATACTTTTAATTCATGTATCTAAGTAAAGAGATTGTTTTGGTGATTCAAACCATGATCATACCAGTGAGGCAACACAGACCAGGTGATTGTAGCTTCCCTTCTCCTTGAACAGCTGCGCGAAATGGTGCTTGCAGTAGATGATGCCTTCGAGGGCAGCGTAGGAGGACGGCGTGAGTGTGCAACCCCCATGAGAGCACTTAAAGCAGGTCTTGTGGTACGACTCGCCTTCCACGGTCAGCTGCCAGAACAAAGATCGAAAGAGGGTGTGACAAATTCGTCGATCCTTCCAAGCTTGCTTCGCTTGGGGTGGTTTTTACGTGCAGACCTTCTCCAAAGGGTATGCTGTTTTCTTGCAGCTGACACACTTGTCTTGGGTTCCGGTGAACATGTAGGAGATCTTGCTTGGGCTTTTAGACTGCAAAGACATGGCATGCGTCGGTAATGAGAAAGAAGATGGGCATGGAAATGTAAGGGGAAGGAGATGCTTGGCACACGTACCAGTTCATTCCTCTCACCAGACTTTGCTCCTTGGATCAAAACCAACCAGGAAGTAGTTAAGGTTAATGTCTGAAACAGTATGATCTAAGTAGGTGCCAACATCTGGTAACTCACTGGAGAAATGGTATGCGATGACGAGTACCTCAGAGAAGAAGGTAGGAAAGGCATCAAATCACCTGTTGGGAACTTTTTGGTGAAGCTGCCTGACTCCTTGAACAGCTGCTCAAAGTGAGGCTTGCAGTAGAGGATGCCATCCATGGAAGAGTAGTTGCACATCTGTGAGACATATGTAGAAACACCAAATCAGTAGTAATCATCTATTGCAGTGTTCATAGAAGATCACCATTGTATGCCAACAAGCATCTATTGGTGATTGTGCATGGAGAGATGAAGTCGTTGCATATGAATTCCAAGGTTGGTGAATTGCCTATCACAACTCACGATCATGTCTAGTTGGCTAAAATTGGAGCAGGTTGTATGGAACTGCATGGTTTCTTGCTGGTTGAGAACCCAAACTTACAGACAGACTTCCTTTGCAGTGGCTGCACTTGAAGCAAGTCTTATGATAAGGGACTCCATCTGCAGTCAAGAGATCAATGAAATGGACAGTCTTGTCACATGCTTTGCACTTGTCCTGGGTGCCAGTGAAAGACATGGTCATGATCCAAACAATCCCAAGTGTTTGGCTCTCTCCAGGAACAGCACAAGAGCAACTGCTAACTCTGCTGCTAAACTCCTCTGCTAAGGAAAACAAGGAATGGAGCTGATGCAGGAGCTCTTGTGGTGCATGTCTTCCCTCCCCCTGTCTGCAATAAATAAGAGCAAATGCAATGTGAAGAAGGGGAGGGAGGAGAAGAAATCTTTGAGTTCAAGGCATTTAAAAATATGAAATTGGGTACTGATTTGGTGAAGAAAGATGGGAACAGGGGAGAAAAGGTAGGAGATAAAACAGGAGGCATGCATGCCATAAACCACAAGCCCAGTCAAACAGGTGGGAGAGGGAACAATGTTTGGAATCCAAACTGTCTTATGCTAATATGAGGAAACATGGAGTTCTTAATGGATAATCTAATTTGAGCTTTTCATGATTCATGAACTTTGAATTAGAATGGCACATGAGATGATATCCTCTATGTGATAGTGTGACTCAAATCTTTGCTTTTTGGAAATACATTTTTTTTGCATATTTGGATCCATATTTTGCACATTGTTGTACTTTACTAATCAAATCCAAGTAATTCAATTAAAAAAATCTTTTTTACCAGATTTTAAGCAATAAAGTTGATTTCATTTGATCATCTGCTTTTATAAATTATGACTAAAATCTCAGCAATTGCTTTTTGCAAGATGGGAATTAAAAGCCAAACTGCAGATGAAAGCAGCATGCAGCTGCCTGTTGCTCATACCATCAATGCAATATGGCATTGACATTTAACAGTTGACATGCTGATCAAGAATCCAGAAATTGCAGAACACAAGAATATTGTGTTAAGTTGTGTTTCACTGCAGATGAAAATGACAGAGATACACCAAATGATCAAATGTTGGATCAAATACACACAAGAATCTTTACATTGAAAAGTAAGAACAAACAACCTTCTGTTCATGTAAATTACATTATGGACAGATACATCACAGTTAACAAATCAAACACACTGGGCTTCCCAGCCAAACCTCTCTCCTGCTGAACAACCAACACATCACCCCAGAAAAAGCTGCATCTAAAAGATCAACACAACACACTCGGAAAACACAAGAAACACGAAACAGATTAGAGCTGAATAGTATGTTCAATCTGTCACCCGATAGTCAACTTTCAGGCCTAAAAGAACCCAAAAATCTTCTTTGGAGCAAGCCCGGTGGCACGATATTTTGCTGCCTTCTCTTCGGCCTTCAGGGCCTCTTCACCGCGCTTTGCCTCTGCAATTGCCCTCTTCTCTTCTGCTTGCTTGTGGATCAAGGCAAGTTTGTTTTTCACTTGTTCTGCATATTCTGCTTTCTTTTTCTCTAGTTCTTCCTGCATATCGATAAGTGTATATTGGTCATGAGTTTATCAGTTGTTCTGAGTCAGAAGGGGCTGTTGAACCTCATACAAATGAAAGCTTTTCTTTTAAATTTTGTGGTTTATTCTTCACTTCTCATCTCTTCAAGAGATGTCAACATTCGATGAACATGTTTGTCACAAATTCAGAAATATTTTGGTTTGATAATATGACCAAATCAACCATGTTATGCACGAAAAATGAAAGAGTGGAGAAGAATAGTACAGTATGAAACTTAAGTTGGTAAGTGCTGCAATTTGACCAGGAATTGTTAGTGCCTGTCCATGATGTTTTGCTGAATTCTTATACAATAAATGTAGGATGTACAATATTTTGAACTTTCTATTTCCTCACCTGCCAACTTCCTAAAATTAATTTTGTCAAAATAAAATTCTTAAAATTGAGGACTTCCACTGTGCATAAATGGTCAATCCATGAACAATGTGTTCAATCCTTCAATTGGAATTAGGCGATAAAGAGATTTATTAGATCTTCCATTACTGCACTTTCGATTTGAGAAAGTTGATAATTGCCCCGTAGTATAAATAAGCACCAAGTTTAAATCAAGCTACAAGCAATGGCATTAGAGTCAGCTCCCTTTCTGTTAAAGTATGCCTAGTATTGCTATTTGCTGATATATAAACTGATCTTATAGCTGATAAGATCATATACAACTTGGGTGAAATGTTTTGAGAAGTTGCTTACCTCTTTCTTTTTCAGCTCGGCTTCCACATCTGCCTTCTTTGACTTCTCCCATGCACTAATAGATGATATCTTCTTGATAGCCCTGTTTGGTAAAGCAGGTACATTGGGTTATTAATGTATCATTCGATATAACTTAGATAGATTCTGCCTATTTGACTAAACATGTTCATCCTTCTCTTATTTCTGAAGAGAAACATGTTTGACCTTGTTAGTATCATCTTTATATGTCGGTCCTAAAATCTCAAAAACTTCTACTAGAGCAATCAGCATCCAAAGCTTAAAAGTCACTTATCTTAGAAGAAATAATAGTACCAGAACATAGAACACAGTGTTCAAAATGAGCTATATCCAAAATATAAAAGAACTCGTGGTTAGTTGAGCAACCGTTAAAGGAAAAGCTTAATGATTGATCGTCTGAATGATTAGCAGAAATGCAAAATTCAATGAAAATTTTCTGTGCCAAAATTCAATGAAAATTAGAAGTTGTGAATTCTTATCATGTATCAAAATTTCTGGTTGTTAGTAAAAGAACATACAAAAACCCTATATGAAAAGGCATATAAAAGCTAGAATCTAAATTTTCGCTAATTCACTAGACCCTGGTGTGTTCCAGTACACAATCTACAAGAACACAGGCCTAAAACATGAAATTGTTGATGACACAGCCAATGAATTGCCTCCTAAAACTGATGATTTCACGGCCTATAGCCAATTTACTTGCTAAACAATGGCAACTGGTGGAGCTCTTGTAACTTTACTAGCAAAAACAGCAAAGTAGACTCTGCTTGAATAGTCATAAGATGGAACTGTAGAATATCTTCGAAGCCATAAGATAAACTTACTTATTTTCTGCCTTGACCTTTTCGTTTTCCTCCCATGCCTTGATCAGTGACAATCTCTTCTCTGTTGCAACCCTTGCAAGAGCAGCATCTGGAACAGCAATACAAAAATGTTCTTCTTCTCACCTTTTGAGTCTTACAGAAGAAAGGAATAAAGGTTCGGATACAACTTTTTGATGAAACCTACCTCTGTCATTTGACCCAGAGCCTTTCTCTGTGGAAGAATCCTCAACCTCTGATAAGAAGATACCAAAATGATCAAGAAAAATTCATCACACGCTATAGATTTTTTTGTAAGATTAAGAAAGGGTATAAGACTGAGATCTGAACAAAGTG